GGCACTGCTGAGGCCACACCTCGAGTCCAGTTCTGGGCAAGAACTGGACATGGAGGTGCTGGGTCATTTCCAGAGAAAGAAACAGAGCTGGGGAGGAGCTGGAGCACCAGCAGCAGCTGAGGGAGCTGGGGGAGCTCAGCCTGCAGAAAAGGAGGCTCAGGAGGAACCTTCTTACTGTCCCCAGTTACCTGGAAGGAGGGTGCAGCCAGGTGGGGGTTGGCCTCCCCAGTAACAGAAGGAGGGGAAATGGCCTCAAGTTGTCCCAAGGAAGATTTAGAAAGGGTTGTCAAGTCCTGAGACAGCTGCCCAGGGAAGGGGCCGACTCACCATCCCTGGAGGGATTTAAAGTTGTGTGCATACGATGCCTTGACAGGGCTGCCCTAGAACAGAGACTAGACTGAGCTAAAGAATAAAGCAGGGATTTATTAGAAGGCCTCAATGGATCCACCCTGGGCAGCACAAGAGCCCAGCCAGGGCTACACCCAAGGTAAACTCAAAATGGTCACAAAATGGATGGCCAGTCATGAGGTCTCTCACTTTTATAAGTTCTGGTCAATTTGAATATTGGAGTTAATTGTCTAATTATAGCTGTAGCCCATGAAGTCCCATCCTTCTTGTTTTTCTCTCTTCAGTCTACTATTTTTTATGCTCTTGGGCCTGAAATTTGGATTGGTTGTCCTTGGTGCCAAGCTAGAAAAGGAATTGTTTTGTCTGCCTACTCTGTGAAGAGAGGTTACCAACACTTAATATGAAGCTCAGAACTACACACCAAAGCAGCACAGAATCTGAAAAATATAAAAGCTAAAACTTAAGGCATCACATATGGCACTTAGGGACATGGGGTAATAAGGGACTTGGCAGTGCTGGGAGAACAGTTGGTTTTGATGATCTTAGAGGTGGTTTTCAACCTGAATGATTCAATGATTCTATATAACATTGGGAATGTCAATAAACATAATTTAATTTCCAACTAGAAACTGAAGTATAGAAGCAGTCAGTGTAATTGGCACATGTTGAAGCGTCTTCCTTCATGGATGATTTAGCACTTGAAAAAATAGGGAATAAAATTAAGAAAAAGCAAAATACTTACAAAAATTAGGCATTTAAAATTAGTATTAACCTGATTAAATCTTTTTTTGCTATACTCACTTAACCTATAAATATTTTTCAGAGACTGAAGCTGTGTAATAGCAATATGAAATCTATTTTATAATAGCAATAATTCCCAAAGAAAGGCATTGTTTTTGACAGCTCTGGCAGATGTTAGTTGGAATTATTAAAAACAGGCTTTTGTCATGCAAAGTTCCACAGAATAACAGAATATTCTGAGTGGGAAGGAACCCACAGGGATCATGGAGTCCAGCTCTGAAGTGAATGGCCCATACAGGGACCAAGCCCATGAAAAGTCAATGACATAGAACTCACTCTGAGTGAAACAAAACCTTGATCCACCTCAGCTGATTCTGAACAACATGCAGCACCAGGAATAAAAGTAATCATGAAAATATTCTTAATAGAAAAATGGAGTAGTTAAAATAAGAGCTGAAGCCCTATGCAAGGGTGAATTTGTCAGACATGAACTCTAGAAAACTGGGGAAGGGCGGATCTTAGTGATGCAATGGAGAATCCAAAAAATCTCCAAGCATACAAAGAGCTTCCCGCAGAAAGATGAAGCCTGAGGTGCCACAGGCTTAGTATTTTTAACAAAGTGCAAGTGCAGAGGCTCACCCAGAGCACAACAGTTTGCTCAGCACAAAGCTCTGAAGGCAGGACATCTGTTAATGAGGGGCCCACGGGACTGAACCAATTAAAAACTGGATATGAGTAAGGTTAGAAGATGACATTAAAAATAAAGACATTTAGCAATGACAGTGTATGGCATAAGGTATATGCACTTGCTGAGCATCTTTAAAATACTGGGAAATTAAGAAGTGTTGGAGATGGCATGGATATTGTTGAATTGGAAATAGAGAAAAATAAGTTATAACCATGGTTCTCACATAATAAAAGCCTGCTGTCCCAGTGCAGGTCAAAAGATGGCAAGAATAATTCAGAAAATAGGCATGACACACACACAAAATATGCATGATGATTTTCTAGAACAAAATTAAGCACGACTTGCAATATATCAAAATGTCAGCTATCTATTTTAATTTTGGGAATACAGTAAGTTCACTTACAATACTTAAAAGGTCATTCAGAAAGACTGAAGTGCAGTAGCAAAAATCTTACTCTAAACATTATCTTTAAAATATCTTTGCTCTTTCTTCTGACAGATTGTTTCTACAAAGCATTTTCCTTATTTCCTTAAAACTTTTAGGGAAATTAAAAAAAAAAAAAAAAAAAACCAAAAAACTGGAAAATCCTCCAGAGGTCCTTCCCTGAAAAGAAAAACTTTAAACTCTGTAGGCCCACGTAGAAATGCCAAGCTTTTAGAATTTTCCAAATACAGCCTGAAGCTTTGCCTGGATGCACAGAAAGATCAGTAGTCCCTTCAAATGATCTTGTTCTTCCCAGGATTTTAGAGGTGGCAGCTAAACAGCACCATCCCAGCAGCTGGAGAAGGCAGTGGAATCCAGCACATAAAGGGTTACAGCATAACCCTGTGCTTTCCAGCCCTCTCCAGCCCAGGGCTGGGAATCTCTTGTCTCTCCCCTGATGATCAGATTTTACCCTTCCCATGCAGTTCCAAGGCTCAGACGTGCTGGTGGGCAGGAAATAAAGCTCAAGTGGCCAAGAAAGTCCCGCTGGGAACAGACACTTCTGCAGGGCTGAAACCACCCCTGGTGCAGGGAGATCTCGAGTCCACACACTCCCCATCAACAGCCTGGGGCTGTTTGTGCTCTAGTACCTCAAGCAGACAGAAAAGGGAAAAAAAAAACCAAAAAACCTTTGCCTGAAACTATTAATTTAAAGCTTATAGCATAATTTTGCTTTATGATCTTAAGTAACTGAGATACGAAAAGCAAAAACAAAATCCTAGGACTGGCAAGACTAATTAAAATTTCTGTCATCTAACTTCCATAATGACACCTAACCTGCTACAGGTTTTAAAAGACGGAGATAAACATCACTGAATTTTATAATAAGTGTCTGTCTTTTTTTAACATGACAAGTTCAAATAATTAGATTGCTCTAGAATGGCAGTGGCTTGAAGAATTGTAATTGAATTAACCAGCAGGTTATTTTGCAAGTATGAGAAATCTACCAACACTTTATTTTTGTTAAACTACAGCGTTGTCTGGTGGAAATTGATTAAATGCACATAATACTTCCTTTCTAAAACTTCCTTTTTCTCATGATATGGAAGCATCCAGTTATGAACTGGATATAAAAGTGCCAGTTATGACACAGTGATGAACTGGATATGAATTGCCAACTGTATCATGGTGCAATAAAAGGAAATAAAATATTCAGATGCGGACTCTGAATGTAAAAAAGCCAAACCCCACAGTGTTGGCATCTCCTGGCATTGTTTGCCTTCCTGTTTGAGTGATTTATCTAACATGATTATAAACTGAAATGTTTGAGATGACTTTCAATAAATACTACTTCTCATGTGAAGAAATAAGATTTTAACAAAGTCTGTTATGTATATACCTCATTCTAGAAACACATTGTAAAAATTAACATAAATCAAAGAAGCAATTACAAAAAAGCCGAATAGGACAAATAGGATGTAGAAACACTCTAATCAAATAAAAGATGTTATTTTTTTATTTTCTTGTTGGTAAAGTAGCATATTTTAACCTGGTTACCACAGGATATTAAAAAAAAAAAAACAAGAAAGTATTTAGAAAATTTTATATATATACATTTGCTTAAAAATTCTATTATGTAAACATTAGCATAGCAAGTTAAAATAATATTACAGTTTATTAATACTCATGTGAATATTGTACATATATATGCTTAATTAACAATATCTTTTCTACAGTTTAATAGTAACAACCAAAAAAATCCCTCCCCTAAGTCAAGAAGGAAATTCAGCTTCTTCAGTTGCCAAATTCAGCTTCTTCAGTTGTGTTTGGTCCCACATCCAAGACACTGAGTTCTTCATCTCAGAGTTAACCAAGAAGGTAAAGCACAGCCTTTCAGAGCTTTATTTTCAACCACACTTACATTTTTATAATGTTTAGTGTCTTAAATGATTAATACTCAAAAAAAACCCACTTCTCACAGTTTAACTACTGTCATGGCATGGAGATGGTTTCTGAAATCTTGTTAAAGGAACTTATTCCCCTACAGGGAAGTGCAATAAATTCTGTTTTGATGTGATAAAAAACAGTTGGTTTTTTTTAAGTCCTGTTATTTGCAGCAATTTGTAATTTTGGAAAAGTCATTCCTTCCTAAACTTTTCAGTGCTGTTGTCTAGAATAAATTCACGCCATTATGAACGAAAAACAAAGTCATCAATATTGATTAGAAGTATGCTCTCATATTTTTTGTGGAAGGAATTTATAAATAATCTAAGTTCTCTATAACTGTATCATAAAAGTACAGTTAGTGTAGAGTGAGAAATAAATTGAAATGTGCAGTGTCACACCACTGTAGAACAAGTGGTTTATCTTCCATTCAAAATGTGAAACACAAAGCAAGTTAGTGAATATTTTAAAATACATTTTGTATTTTATATAGATATTTTCCTATAGTAAAGTGTTTATTCTAATACAGAATGCTGTGAAACTACCAAACTTCCAAAATAATAATCAAGTTAATATTCCATGTGATGCAGGGTGCTGACTGAAATACCCTAACCTATAGAAAATGAAGGAGGGAAACCCTTTACTTTCTTGAATTGTTTAAACATTTTTCCAGAAAGTGACTCAAGATCCAATTCAGAAGCATTACTGTTGTTTCCAAGGAGAAAAATGTGTTTGTGTGTGCAACAGGTTTCTTTCCATATATCCTAGAGTTCCAGCTGGAAGAGCCCAAGGCTGGTTCCAAGAGTTGCAAGGGTGTATAGCAGCAGGATTTGGTAAAAAAATTTGGTTTTTTTCTTTTAAACAGCTGTTGCACAGGTTTCTCACTGTCATTTCAAGCAGGTAACTGTATTTCTATCCACAGGTATATATTATCTGTTCCCAGAATTCCAAGACATTGGATGGAAAATGTATTGGGGTGGGGGGGTTTGAACCTTTGAAATGGCACAAAACTTCTTGCAGAAGTGAGATCCCTGCATTCTTTGAAGGAAAAATAATGACATCGGTATCAGAAAGCACCAATTACTGATTCTGGTAACAAAATACCAGGTTCTTAATTATTAATATGTCCTGGCAGAAGCATCATTAGTTCATGGGGATTCACCAAGTCTCATTTATTATTAGCTTCCTGCTCTGAGTCAGTCAACCCCATTGTTAGTGGGTTTGTATTAATTAATTTGACAGCTACCATGTAGATATTATTCTGTACAATAAAACATGACTGTTACAAAGAAACACCCCACCTTAGCAATAGGTCACAATTTTGACCCAGTAATCTTTAATACCATTCTGTTCTTTCTCTAAATGCTTGTATTAATTCCATCACGATGGTTTATGACTTGCAGTAGATTCTGTAAGGTAACATAATTTGATTACAACTATCACATCAACAATATATTCCATTAAAAAGACTGGCTTTGAAATTATTATCTACCTAAGAATATGTGACTTAATGGACATATCAATTTAAGCCTTTATAACTATGTCAATATCCTGCCTCATATAAACCTTGGAGATTTATTACTATTATTATTATTGAGAACTTTGATTTAATTTGCAAAAGCCAAGTCGACACATTGCATTCTCTATAATGAATGAGAGAATCTCTAAATAAATGAGATTCTGAAAAACCACAGTCAGTCTGTGAATACTGATGGAGACATCTGCAAAAGCTGGAAGAGCTCTGCCTGCTCTGTGCTTCTCAGGGAAGGGTTCACGGTGGAGGTGACTGGACAGCAGCACTGCAGTAGAAGTTGTGCCACTTTTTTACAGTTTATTTTGAACACTCACTAAAGGATGCAGAGGAGAAGCCCTGGATCTAAAGACAAAGCAGGAATGAAATGCTAACAAGACCACAAATTGCTCTAGGCTGGCTCTACCAGCCAGGAACAGCTCCAGGGCCCGGCCTGTCCCAAGTCCTCATCATGGGATTACAGCACTGGCCGCTGGTGCCAGCAGGAAGGGTCAGTAATGAATTAATTAATAATTCATTAGTAATGAACCCAGCAGCTCATTGTGAGCCACCCACTGAGCACAGACAGGGGTTGAAGAGCTGTGAGTCAGCCAAAGGAAGTTTAGAGCTGTACAAAAATTGTAACTGCATGGAACTGGGTGAACAGGATAAGCTGATAAAATCATTCCACTGGCAGAATCATTGCTACAGGTATTTCAGATTAATAATGCACCTACTTGGGATTCTTAATACCAACTGGTCAACTTTCTCCAAGAGGCTTTGCTGGTTCTGGTGAATGAACAGAAGTGGGATTTGTAACAGATGCACAGGATTCTAAGACAGGGCCTTTCAGAATGTCTAGAGGTGGTAAAAATTTGGGCAGTCCTGTCAGTAGGCACCTACAGGCACTCAGGCAGGTACCTCCGTAGTCTTCAACATAAGCAGGGGTATAAAGTGGGAATGCCACCTTGTGAAGAAAGGCTTTCTTTGATTATTTCCTGGGATTTCAGCGGAGCTTTTAAAAGGATTAGTAATGCACCCATGATGGTATCTTGTATCACCAAGTGAACATTGTTTGCAGACTATCATTTTAGCAGCTGGTACACAATTCAGCTAAAGTTAACAAAGAGCAATTTGTACATGGTAAACAAGTTTAGTATCTTTATGTAATCTACATACATACTTTAAAAATTACAAGAAGCAAGATAATCAGGAATGAAATCATTTTAAGAGCCAAATGCAGATATAAAAAAGTCCTTTTAAACAACTAAAAAGAAATTCAGTCTGCAGTAAATGAAATTTCTTACCATTTGCAGTTTGCTGAATAAGTACTTGAATCTGTGAATTATTTCTTGAAAATGAATACAGCTTCATGTAACAGATACATCACAAAGGTTTCCACACAGTGTTTTCTTTCAAATTTACTTGCAATTCAGTGTTAGTATATGTGCTCTATTTCTACTAACCAAGTCTCCACTTTCTGAAAAATGAGTTAAAATTGTTTCAAAGTGGGACCATCATTACAGCTACTTCTTCCAAGAAAGACAAGTTAAATCATCAGCACTGCATCAGGCTGAAGAGTTTGGAGAAGCTACTTAACTGCCAATCTACTCACTTTCCTTTCTTCTTAAGTGAGTGTCCCACTGTAACTAACACAAAACACCAACAGTAATTAATTTGTTAATGAGCACACAGCAGTGAGCTCCCAGGCTGGCCTTCGGGTTTTTCTCTTTGTGTGGTAACTGACACCTCTTACTGACTGGGAAATACTGTTTCATTTCTGTGATGTGATTTCACTTAGTGCTATTTCACCTAGGGAAATTTCTGACCTGGAGAGTGAATGCCACTCCTCTCTGCCACATTTTGCTGTTGAGTGCAGTCTGGAAGTTCCATGTTCCAGTGGTGGGAATGCAGCACGTGGGGCTCCCGCGCAGGCAGCGCCGGTGCCTCTCCCTGTGGGTAACAAAGCCTTTCTCACCTGAGGGATGCCACTGGAAACGAGTGACCGCTGACCTGCCTGAACGGCACTCACTGCTCACAGCGCTGCAGAACACAAGTTCCAGTTTGCTGGAACTGTAGTAAAGCACTGAAGTACAAAAATCTGTTATTAATCATCAGTTTGTTTTTTCCTGGAGAATAATATAAGATGTGAAAATTTAATATAATGAATGGATAATAAAATTACAAGATACATCAATTTAAGTAACATTATCCAAAAAACCTTCTGAGAGCGAAGATGTTCTTACATAAAGGAAAACTAGAACACAATTGATAGAAAATTTGAACATACACTGCTTAAACTTAATGAAGAGGAGAAGATAGCTAAACATAATTAACTGCCTATGGCAGTGCAGCTAACGGATACTGAACTGGATTCCAGTTAATCCATGTCAGGACTTCCATCACTTGTAACAATTCTTGTCAATTTTTTAGTTACTCTTACAGTAGTAGCATCACAAATCACTTTTTAATAAGAGGTGATGGGTAACAGGCACTTTCATTACAGGCAAATTTAAGTATCACCATATGAAGGGTATCACAAATCAGACTAAGAATTCCACCCTGCCCTGCTAATGATGGACTGTTCTGTAACATAAGCAACAAATCAGTAACAAAATATAATCCAAGACTTAAAAGCACTGTTTTATACCACACTAATTTTGTGTATCATTGTGGTGGTTTGTAGAAATTAATAATATTGCACCTGCCTTACAGCAAGACTGAAATTTCACTAAAAATAATTACATTCTCTGATTTTAAAGAATTACTTCCCACAGACAAATGCTATTGAGAGTATCTATCTAGAAATGTACAAAAGCTATTTTTCCACCTGTAATGTTTTTCTCATCATCTACATTGTGAAGTTTTTTAAAAACCTTTATGTGTCAGAGGTTGACAATTAAAAAAAACCAAAACAACCCAGTCTTTCTATTTACAAAAGGTAATAAATTAGTGAGGTTCTTTTAAGCACATCCTTCTGACATATTTAGTGATAATCATAAAGGTTCTTCTAAGGAGAAAAAAAAGTGTCTTGACATGAAGCCCATGTCTCTCTGGAACAGAAAACTGTACATGGAAAAGGGACAACATAATACAAACAAGGAATTCATTGTGACAGAAGGACTTCAGAGGAACAAAGGAGAATTTGTGCAGTGCAGCTTTACAAAACAAAGGAAATGCCGATCCGTTTGCTGAGCTCTCGTGAAGAGCCCTCGTATTCTTGGAGAAAGTGATTACTGCCTTCCAAAGTAGTTAATCAGGATATGACCCTTGGTAATGAATGTCTCTTTTCAGGATTTAAGTTGATGCAGCTGTAGTCTCTTCAGGAGCTTAAATTATAAATATAGGCTAGGAAGGAATGACAGAACAACTTAAAGTACGTGCTGCCCGTGGTGACAACTGCGGGAAGGGTCAGAGGTCACCGCTCTGCGGCTCCAGGCTCCGCGGCTCCCTTGGCTGGCTGCGGGACAGTTTGGGGAAGCGGGTGCTCACTCTGGAGCGACTGCTTTTGCTCACTGTCTCTCCAGAGGGTGGGATATCACTAGGGAGACAAAAAATAAACACAGAACAGCTCATTTATGTTGTATGTAAATTGGAGTGTGGTTACTTCCAACACAAAAAAAGCAGATGTTATGAGAGCCTGGCACATGACTGCGAAGTACAGCACACATCTTCAACACCACGGAATTGCATTCTTTACTGGTGTCTCCAGTGTGAATTACAAAATGGGCTCTTTCAGAAATGACAACTAGTAGAACTTTCAATACTTTATGGAAGATTGCAAGTTACAGGATAAAAGCGGATCTCTATGAGTTGCAGATCAGAAATGGTGGGAAAAGCATTTTGAAGTGATAAGTACAAGCAAAATAGACGAGCTTGGATGATGCTCAATTAACAATCCTCTAATCATGGATGGATGTATCATTACATGATGAAGTACATTGGTAATACATCCCTGAATTCTTCAGTCTCTCCTGACCCACAACAGACTACAGTCTTACATGAATGAGCCTTTTGCAAAAGACTCTGAGAAGAAGTACATTAAGTTCAAAACAAGCAGTAACAGAAAATTCCAGCTTACCTAGGTGATAGTCAGGCTATAGACTCCTCGGAAAACTACAGTATAAAGGGATAGCATTGTACTTTTGCCATTCTTTTACAGGACTCCACATGGTTTTTAATTAAACTACTTACACACAAATCAATAAATAAAACTAAGTTTTGCATTTAGCAACTCAGCTAAGCAATAAAATTACACAGCATACAAAGCCAAGCTTATTTTCCTAAGTGAAAAACCCCAACTTTATAATACCTATCTTCAGACTGTGGTAACAAGTCCAGAAAGGAGAAATTGCTCATCTGCACTTCCAGCCATATTAGACAAACACAGATATATTTTAAGAAAATCCCCAAAGTTCTCTGTGCATTCTTTTCCTGCAGAGTGACCTTTCCCACACACAGGTCAGTCCCTCCTGCCAGAGCCACAGGCACACTCAGGCCCCACTGAGGCGTCTGGAGCACCCACATGGGAGAGATGTCAGCAAAGCAAAAACCTTTAACAAGTCCTGGGATGGACTGGAAAATTCTCTTGCAGGCAGCACAGCACTTCTGCAAGGAAGGGCAGCTGTCCTGCCCTGCCATTGGCTTCAGAACTACAGTGCACACACAGCTGCCTCCACAAAGGGAAGAGAAAAAAAACAGTATGGAAAAGTTATGTTCAGTTCTGATGCTAAGCAACAGAAAGTTTTGTGGGGTTTTTTAGTGGCAGAGTATTTAACTGGTCTAAATTTCTAAGCAGAAAACTCTGAAATAGCTTTAGTTAAAATAATAAAGGATTTTCCTAAATCAAGATTCACCACATTCCTATTATAGTATTTAGTCTTCCAAGGTAACTAAGAAGTTCTTTATGTGAAAAAATGCATTAAATACCTGTGGCATACATACTCCTACAATAACCAGATTAATAAGTTAGATCTTTAATTCCTTATTTTTCTTGTCACTAAAATAAAAAGACTAAAAATTAATTTAGCCTATGTTATTAATTCTTGGTAGCCAAGGATAATTGGACTTCCAACAGTGGCCCTATGATTTCTTACTCTGAAAACTCAGCAATGCTATCTAAGTTGCTGTAGAGAATTCTGATCATGTGAATCCAATTTCAGCTGTGCTCATTACCATGGATTTCTTTTAGTAACATGAATATTATTACTCATAATTTTTATACTATTTATAAAATTGAGCAATGCAGTGTTGATACTGTAATGCTTGTAAAAGAGAGCATGTGACATTGACTTCAGAGGGTTGTGGTTTTAACATATTTTTCAGATATGTATTTTTCAGAACATGTAAACGTAGAATAATCTAAATATCAAACATATAATGGAATGAAATTAAATGTCCAGCTCACTGGGCTTTGCTCAGTCTAAAATATGTCAATTCAGCAGCACGATGGCCACTGCTGACAGAGCTTTGGCTGTCTGAGGCACACGGGGATCCTTGGCAGGTACAAGGGGGTTTACCTTGCAGCACAGAGCACCAGTGGAGTGCAATTACTGCAATTTGGGGATTGCTTTATGGAAAGCACATTTTAATGCACAAGCTCCTCCTGCTGGCATGTCCCCAAAACGACAACAGTGCCAGCCCAATGGAGCAAAGCTATTCAGAGGGAAAAGGGCAAAAGGGGCAGAAGGAGTTCCCCTAAAATGAAGAGAGATAAATTAATTTCAGTCTGGCATGGCTGAGGTAATCAGGTCATTTAGGGTAATTACATGAACACCAAAGTCTGTGAGCAAAGGACAGAAATTGCAAGTAATTCTGCTAATTTAAATGATGCCACTCCACAACATGATATATCTAATAACTAAATTAGAGATTAATTTATCTTAAATGTCTTAGCTAATTTTTATAATGACAATCTAAGACACATCATTATCTAATGTAGGTTTACAGAAATCAATGTATATCTGAGGAATTACAGCTTCATGCATCCAGCATGAAAAGAAAACTGGAGCTGAAATTGAATTGATCAACTTCCATGGAAACAGATGTTCTACGGGGAAAAAGTTTCAAGTATTAAAAGTGTCATAAATTTAAGAGTCTTTCAGCCCCCTTTTCATGGGAGAACCACCCATCTCACTTGCCTGCTTCAGCTCTGGCTTTCTTGCCAAAATGACCAACCCAAAATACATGGTAAGCAAGCAGGAGGGAAAGAGTCACCTCCCCTCTGTTCTGTCTCCTGTTATTAGATTTAATGCTTTAGTTCTAGAGGTAGAACAATACCTATACAGTCTCTGGCACTAACCAAAACACTTTCTAAATGTATTGACTTGGTCAGAAGCATGAAGACATTAAATTATTCTGTCTGTATTTCTGGCAAATGCACATGAAGATGAAATTGAGACAAATCTTTTTGCCACCCAGTGTTTGGAATGAAGAAGGAAGAATAAGTTATTACCTACAAGGTTTGCAGATCCTCTTGTTTGCCACACTCAGTAAAAACAGTCCCTAGGTTAGTTTGGGGGTGCTGAGTTAGGGTCCACCTCCAGTTGATTGTTTTACTCAGATTAAAACACAAATTTAAAACACCTAAATCTCAACCAGGGAGTAGCTGTGCTGCAGTAACTCTCCCAGCCCTGCTTCCCCAGGTCCCTGAGGTAAGTTCACAATTCATCTAAGCCTACACGTGTCCCAACTACACCCGTTTGGCTTTAATAAAACATTCTGCTTTTCCTTCTGTTCCTTCTGAGCCACAGAAGCTTTAGCAGGGTCCAGGCAGAGAGGCTTACCAGGCACTGCCCTGTTCAGCTGTGAAATGTCCACCTATTAAAGGCTCAAGTTCTTTTCTACATTCTCACCTTGGCCCCTTCTGAACAAAAAAGCAACCTGCTTAGGCAATCAATTCCTCCTTCCTACCCGGTCATTGTTTAGCTTTTAAGCATTCCTGATTGATCTGC